GGAAAGAAGATGTCATCTGATCATTTAATCGTCTGACAGTCGGACTGCCTGAAGTTGCCGTTGTCGAGGTTAGGGTCGTTAGGGTTGTCGCATTCGTCCGACCGGTGGGCAAAGTGGCAGGAAACTGGGACGTCTGTGAGGAAGAGAAAACATTGTCTTCTGACGTCAATATGTCGGCCGCCTGTTTTGGCCGTCTATTCGATGGATCACAGTTTGCACGATTTGGAGACTGTGGAAGCGGCGAATATGACGGATGCCCTGCTATGTTGGCGGCTGAGCTGCCGTCGAGTTGGTTTGAAGTGAGGCTTGGCTGGAGAGCAAGTGGTCCGGCTAGACTGTTGGGGCCCGCTTGAGCAACCTCGCGTCGTTCTCGGGCTCGGCGATTTTGAAACCAGATCTTCACCTGTCGGGTTGAATGTGGCGCAGTTATGTTATTTTCATGAAATGCATGTTTTAACAGGAGCATGAACGCAGTCAAACGGGATATGTTTGAAAATGTCTATTTCGAACAGACGAAGAGGGTTATACTCAGGGTTCGGCTCTTCCAGGTCTCGAATATGGGCTCTGAGGTGACAGGAAAACCTCGTGGAGCATACCTGGTAGTGTATCTTCCGCCCTAGTATTCGGGATAACTTCCAGCCTCGGACCGTTGACTTGATACATTTCCAGTATGGCGCCTCTTACTGACGATGCAGATTACGACGCTGGCAAAAAGTCTAGAAATGTACCAAGTCAACAGCTCGATGCTGGGAATAATCGTTAATACTATGACGGGGGACGCAGGATGAGGTATGCTCCACAAGATCTCCCTTGTCGCTCCAAAAAAGTTGCGAAAACAAGATAAAACCAACAATATACAACTTAATAAGACAAAGACCAAACTTAAGGCTACACTATCCTGGTCCTTATATAGGATCACAAATTTCAACTAGTCTGTCACTTTGGTAAACCCTCTTGAGACTTGTGTAGGGTAGATTAGAAATACTCCTAAATTTGATAAACTTGTCTCAATTGCGAGCTTTAATGTGATGAAAGGCTGATGGTGAATTTGCTTACAATCATATGAGCAGGCCTCAAGATGACACTGAAGACTACTCAAGCTTTCTTCTCAAAAGGTATTATAATCCAGACTTGACTATAGTTTCGACCTACCCATCAGTTCTCCAACTGGAATCGAACCCGGTAAGGACAATGTATATTTTCGACATGATATGCCAAATTTTCAAAATTCGAATGGGTCATGGGGAATCTGCGACTTTCAGGGCAGGACAGGCCTCTCCCATATACAATTTTTATGTTGGTATTCTCGATAAAGAAAACATGTATCTGATAGTATAATCGACAAAATTGCTTGTAAAAGAACTTATTTTATAAATCACCTTAAGTAACTTATGGTGACTAGGCTCTTGCTCAAGCATTACAGAAGGTCTCTAAAACTACTTGTGCTAAAAATAAGTAGTTTCGTCTATTAGCGAAGGCAAAAGTATGTTTGTGAGTGAGTTTGGAGAGGCTTCACTTCCCTTAAATGTATAATCGTCCTCCCGACCTCCTGACATCCTTTGCTGTCGGGTGGAGTGGAGTCATAAATTCGCCACGACCCTCCCGACCCGATATCGAATCCCACCGGGGGGGCTGAGAAGAGCTAGAGGAAGTCTAAACTACTGTCTGGCCTGGAGAATATTGCCTTTTGGGGTGCATGGCTAAGGGAGCTCTGATGGTATCGTTAAGTATACTCATCTGTTTCGTTTATAAAAAGGCTCATGATCATATATATATATATATATATATATATATATTGTCATCATTGTCATTTTTACTTCGTTTGTGTCAGTATTTGTACTTTTTACTTATAATTTGTTGTAAAATCAGGAATTGCAATTTGTTTTTTGCCTGCTTATACAACCTAAGTGTGCTATGAATAGATCTATTTGACGTCTTCTGAAATTGATTTACTGAGAAACTATATAATTCCATTTAATGTCATTTTAGCAAAACGTTAAGATCAAGATAAGGTCTTTGAAGATCATTATGCCCTGCTCACCGGAAGTCCATTCTTGCCCGGGCTAAACATCAGCAGGACTCGAACCGTGTTGCTGTGGGTTTACGAGCAAGCATGTTGTACGGCGGACCAGAAGATCATATCGCTTTCATTGCCTTTAATTACACACTAAAATTAGGTATATTTGTGTAGTACCCTACATTTTGCTTGAAGATGCAAGCGGAAGGGATTCGTAAATTGTCTTCACCGAAAGCTCGCAGTTGTAACTGTATTTATTGCGAATAAGTTCTCAGTGCTCCAGTTCCCAAAGCTGATGAATAAATGCTGATTTTTCGTTTGTTAGGTCAGAAGTTATGCCTTAAGGTAATTCACCGAGCGGGAAGTCAAGAAAGGTGGCCGGCTGCAATCTTACCCACTTCGTATAGTCTGACTGTGTCCACTTAACAAGACATTTCATGATTTGGCTATTTTATGCTCTCTCCTCATGCTTTAAAGCTTTGTAATTCTTGCTTTCGTGCTTGGCGAAGTATCGTAGAATATAGCGTTACGCTCTGGCGATGTCTGCCACGGCCCCCGACGGATTCATCGGGGCTGCATTAAGGTGGGTTAAGGATGTATTAGCACAAATCTACAGCCTCGATTGTTCAAATCAATTAAAATATACAAAGAAAATCTGGATTTTGAGAATGCCTTAGTGATTTATTCTGATTGGAATTTACATTTGGAATGAATAGTTATCTGGAAGGGATTCATAAATTGGTCGCACCGAAACCCAAAGGAGGATTGCCGCGGAGTAAAGACAGTTGGATTGTGCAAGCAAGTCCTTGGCTCACTGTCCTGCGACATTGATGAATCTGTGTTAAGCTTTCGTCTGTATCGCCGTAACAGACATCATCAGATCGAGAGTCTATACTTTACGAAATTACACTTAAATATACTAAATGGAGAGAAAAACTAGCCGGCTGCGACCATAGTCGGTTTTTATACACCGCCCAGAAAATGAAATTAGATATACTCAATTGATAATAACACATGCCTAAACATGAGTCAGCATTAGAAGATGGTGCACTAGTTTATGCATGCAAGGAAACAGCTAATACCACCTCCACTTCCTGTTCATTAATTAACCTCACTCATCTGCAAGCACGAAGGGTAAGTTTGAGCTTGTCAACCAAATCATGGGTTAACTGTACAAAAAGGTAACTAGGGTTACAGACTGTCATCCTTTCGCTTAGGTTACAATATTCTTGCGCTATTTCGTAAAATAGATATTCTTGCTCTGATGATATACGTTACAGTACAGACGACAACTTGGCACAGTTTCATCGGGGTCGCAGGACGATGAGCCGAATACTTTTTCCTACAATCCTACGCGGCAATCCTCCTTCGGTTTCCGGTGATACCACATCACGAATTCCTTCCAACCAACTTTTCTTTAGAAACGGAAATTCAGGCCACAAATGACAGATACGCTATCATCAATTGACTAAATGGGTGTCCGAAACCCGATCTAAGAAGTATGTATCTTGTCCCTCAATTAGTCAAGGAATTAAGAACTGCATACTCAAGGTTACCAATCGCTATATTACTTCCCAAAAAAGTTAAAAGTTTCATGAGACCCACTTTGCCTTGAAATTTATGTTTTTGATATAGCTCTTAAGAGTGCATATCTACC